GGTCAGGCAAGCCTTCAAGGAAATGGTCAGGGAAGTGGTTATGGTCAGGGAAGCGGTAATGCAAGCATTCAAGGAAATGGTCAGGGAAGCGGTCAGGCAAGCGGTCAAGCAAGCAGTCAAGAAAGTGGTTATGGCCAGGGAAGCGGTCAGGGAAATGGTCAAGCAAGCAGTCAGGGAAGCGGTTATGGTCAGGCAAGCGGTAATGGAAGCCATCAAGGAAATGGTCAGGGAAGTGGTCAGGCAAATGGTCAATCAAGCGGTCAGGGAAGCGGTCAGGCAAGTGGTCAATCAAGCGGTCAGGGAAGCGGTGAGGCAAGCCGTCAAGGAAATGGTCAGGGAAGCGGTTATGGTCAGGGAAGCGGTCAGGCAAGCCTTCAAGGAAATGGTCAGGGAAGCGGTCAGTCAAGCATTCAAGGAAATGGTCAGGGAAGCGGTCAGGTAAGCCTTCAAGGAAATGGTCAGGGAAGTGGTTATGGTCAGGGAAGCGGTTATGGTCAGGGAAGCGGTAATGCAAGCATTCAAGGAAATGGTCAGGGAAGCGGTCAGGCAAGCATTCAAGGAAATGGTCAAGGAAGCGGTCTGGGAAGCATTCAAGGAACTGGTCAGGGAAGCGGTCAGGGAAATGGTCAAGCAAGCAGTCAGGGAAGCGGTTATGGTCAGGGAAGCGGTCATGCAAGCCTTCAAGGAAATGGTCAGGGAAATGGTCAGGGAAGCGGTTAGGGAAGCAGTCAGGGAAGCAGTTTTGATCAGGGAAGCGGTCAAGCAAGCGTTCAGGTAAGGGGTTATAGTCAGGCTAGTGGTCAAGTAAATGGTCAGGGAAGCAGTTATGGTCAGGGAAGTGGTCAAGCAAGCAGTCAGGCAAGCCATCAGGGAAGTGGTCAAGCAAGCAGTCAGGGAAGCGGTCAAGCAATCAGTCAGGGAAGCGGTTTTGATCAGGGAAGCGGTCAAGCAAGCGTTCAGGGAAGAGGTTATAGTCAGGCTAGCGGTCAAGTAAATGGTCAGGGAAGCAGTTATGGTCAGGGAAGTGGTCAAGCAAGCAGTCAGGCAAGCCATCAGGGAAGTGGTCAAGCAAGCAGTCAGGGAAGCGGTCAAGCAATCAGTCAGGGAAGCGGTTTTGATCAGGGAAGCGGTCAAGCAAGCGTTCAGGGAAGAGGTTATAGTCAGGCTAGCGGTCAAGTAAATGGTCAGGCAAGCGGTCAGGCAAGCAGTCAGGGAAGTGGTCAAGGAGGTGGTTATGTCTCTCTCTCTCTCTCTCTCTCTCTCTAATAAAGAGAATTCATTGATTGAAGAGTTGGTGTTTTTGTTATCATTTGGCTGTTTTCTCACATAACTGATTTCTGGCATCAGTGCTTTGTGTAAGTTCCTCTCCCTGGGACCTGGACATTTAGAAAAGTATTAGTCAATTTTTACACACAATTCCACTATGTCATGGGGACACAAATGGCACCAAATGCTAGGAGTGACCCTAAAATCTGTTACTTTCCATTTTATATATATATATATATGCAACTGTTTTCCGCCCTTTCTGCAAACTATTTGTATTCTGTTCTCATGGAGGTTATTCAGCTGGTCAGGAGTGACAAATGCATCTGCCTCATGGGCTGCAGCCAGTTTCTCCTCTATAGCTACATGTCATCCCTTTTTAATAAGTACAGTTTAATGTATTTAAAAGGGGTCATATGATGTGATTTAAATTTTTTTCCTTTCTCTTTGAAGTGTTACAAGCTCTTGGTGCATAAAGAAGATCTGTACAGTTGCAAAGACTAAAGTCTCAAATCCAAACTGATATTCTTTATAAAAGTTAAGAATCAACCACGCCTACCTAAAACAGCTCATTCTAACACGCCCCCACATGTCTACGTCACGATGTGGGAAGATTTGCATACCGCCGCCCAAATGTTCACGCACAGAAAGAAGGTGTAACTTTTATTCTCGCTGTAGTATTGTTGCTGCCGCCGCCATGTCGTGAAGACGCTGTGTGCTTCGTTGTGAAAGCGAAACTACTTTGCTTGGTCTTCCAAAAG